TACAGACAAGCGCGGAACAGACAAAACTCGGTTTTCCGAAGGAAGAAGCGTCAGCAGGAAGACCAAGATCGCGAGGCGGTGGAAAATCTGTACCGCGTAAACGACACGCCGAAGTTCTACGAGAAGCTAAAAAGTTCGCGCAAAGGCTACGTGCCGCAAGCCAATATGTGTAAGGACTTGGACGGTAACCTTCTCACGAACGAGTGTGAGGTGATTGAGAGGTGGAAGCAGTACTATGACGAGCACCTCAACGGTGAAGCAGCAGAAAACGAAGGTGGCACGGCAACAGACCTTGGAGCACGCGCAGAAGACGACAGGCTACCGGCCCCTGATCTTCAAGAAGTTAAGGAGGAGATCGGTCGACTGAAGAACAACAAAGCATTTGGTGTAGATCAACTACCAAGTGAGCTATTAAAATACGGTGGTGAAGTACTGGCTAGAGCGCTGCACTGGGTAATTGCCAAGATTTGGGAGGAGGAGATATTACCGGAGGAGTGGATGGAAGGTGTCGTATGCCCAATCTACAAAAAGGTGACAAGTTGGGTTGCTGCAACTACCGCGCGATCACACTGCTGAGCGCCGCCTACAAGGTACTCTCCCAAACTCTATGCAGCCACCTGTCACCATTTGCAAGAGAATTCGTGGGGCAATACCAGGTGGGATTCATTAGTGCCCGCGCTACCACGGACCAAATTTTCGCGATTCGGCAGGTTCTGCAGAAATGCCGCGAATACAACGTGCCCACACATCATTTGTTCATCGATTTCAAACCCGCATACGACACAATCGATCGAGATCAGCTATGGCAGATTATGCACAAGTACGGATTTCCGGACAAACTGACGCGATTGGTCAAGGCGACGATGGATCGAGTGATGTGCGTTGTTTGAGTATCGGAGACACTCTCGAGTCCCTTTGAATCTCGAAGGGAGCTACGGCAAGGTGATGGACCGTGTCTGCTGTTCAACATCGCGTTAGACGGTGGACACGAGTGGCACAATATTCAGGAAGTCCATCCAGCTCCTTGGCTTCGCCGATGACATTGACATTATGGCACGGAACTTTGAAATGATGGCAGAAACGTACATCAGACTGAAGGCTGAAGCTAGGCGGATTGGGCTTGCCATCAACGCATCAAAGACAAAATACATGAAAGGAAGAGGTTCTAGGGAAGACAATGTTAGCCTCCCACCCCGAGTTCAGATTGACGGTGACGAAATCGAGGTGGTCGATGAGTTCGTGTATTTGGGCTCACTGGTGACCGCCGAAAATGATACCAGCAGAGAAATTCAAAGACGCATTATGGCAGAGAGTCGTGCCTACTTTGGACTCCAGAGTACGCTTCGGTCGAATAAAATTGGCCTCCGCACGAAGTTGACTGTCTACAAGACGCTGATTAGACCGGTGGTCATCCACGGCCACGAGACCTGGACTATGCTCGCGGAGGAACGGAAGGTGTTGCGTACCATCTACGGTGGAGTGCAGATGGATGACGGAACGAGGAGGAGACGAATGAACCACGAATTGCACCAGCTGCTGGGAGAACCATCCATCGTCCACATTGCAAAAATTGGGCGACTACGGTGGGCTGGGCACGTCGCAAGAATGCCGCACGACGACTCAGTGAAAATGGTTATAGAAAGCGACCCAACAGGAACAAGAAGAAGAGGCGCGCAGCGGGAAAGGTGGATCGACCAAGTAAAAGGTGACCTGCAGACCCTTCGCAGACTACGAGGCTGACGAACTGTGGCCATGGATCGAGTAGAGTGGAGACGACTTCTTCGGACAGCAGAGGACAACAAGGCCTTAGCCTGATTGATACATAGCTTTCAACAGGTTGGGAAAACGCCGACGTCCACGGACCGTTGATAAACGTGCAGCAGTGGAGACAACAAATTGTCCAAATGCGTTTTGAGGAATGCCGATGGAATTCTGTCAAGACCCGGATTGTACGACGACTTGAGTTTCGAGGAAGTACTGGAAAACATCTCGGAATTGATATCAATTCTGCTCATGGTTTGGCCCGAGTGTGATACGTAACTGGCAGCGAGCCGGGCATAGTCGTCACTCAGTCTCTCGTCCGTGAAGACACTAGCAAATTTTTCAGAGAGCAGCTGACAGATATTTTGCGTAGATGAGGCCACGTCCAGCTTCATGACGTTGTTCGTTAAGAAACTTCCAAAACTGCTTGGGACGTGACTTAAGCTTTCTCTGCAATCCACGTCGATACTGAAGAAAGCACCGTTTCGCAACTCGTTTGTGTTCGTGATTAATCCTCACATGAAGCTGTCTTCAACAAAGTTGTTCCTTATACATACTTTATGATACATGTTTCAACAACTCTGAGCTTAATCGAGTTTGCTGAGCCAGTTCTGTACATATGTATGTATGTACGTAAAGGATACCAGTGAAGGGCACAGCCATTAGACAGTGGACTACACCTCGTATGACTTGATCAAGTACGATACCTGGTTGTATTCCATTTACCATTGTATGAAGGGCCAAAAATGGAAGGAATCAGACCAAAGACCACTAATGAACTGGCGAAGATCAAACAAACGTTGATTAGAACCGATTCTTTAGGATTCTTTGATTCAAAGGGTGAAACCAGACTTGTGACGTAGCTCATTCGGACGGATAATGATAAGAAATTCTGTCAGACAGAAAATGAGTGTTATGCCATTGTGTGGGCGATGGAGTAGCTATTTATTTATTTGTACGGGATAAAATTTACTCTTGTAACAGATTGCAAACTACTTGAGAACCTTTTCAACAGGGTTCAATCAAAGCCATCTGCGAGAATTGAACGATGGATATTACGTCTTCAAAGTTTTGACTTTATCGCCGGCAGCTCAAAATGTTATAGTCATACTGTAGGTAGGATGGTGCAAAACGCACCCTTTAAGCAAAATCGTCAATGGCTGGCGAATGGAAGCTAAAATCAAGAAGAAAGTAATGGCGTTTGGTTCATTACCATGTTTTCTACAAAGATCGAGTGATTTAGAACTACAAAAGGATGATTTTCCATGACTTTCAAGGTATTTTTTAAATTGCTTCCAAAATGATAGCGGGGCAAAACGCCTGATTCATGATGCAATATGCACCACAACATTGGGACAAGACGCACGACAACAATGGCTAAAACGCACCACAACATTGGGGTAAAATGCACCCTATGGTAAACAAACCATAACCCCTGCAAGTAGATAATGCAAAGGGATGCGGTATTTCAAATGATTATTTCTTTGTGTTACATCAGAAATAAGGTCTCAAAATCTCAATAGAATGTTAAACTGTGATTCATCAAGTAAAATATCTAAAAAATATACGAAACGTAAATTTTTTATTTTTTTTTGTGATACATGATGATAAAAGCTTAATTTACAGTCGATGATTTGAACAACTGTGTCCTGTTTTGCACATAATGCAATTTTTTAAGGAATCAGTAGGTCAATACATGATTTTATGATCAAGAATTATTTGTTAAACCTCCAGTTGAAAAAAATCACAAACCGTTACCCGGAAAATGCATCTGAGGAAAAGTTATCGCTGTTTTTCTATAAGTGGGCATTTTACCCCAGGGGTGCATTATGGGCTGTTCTCCCTTACTGGACATATTTCAGCATGTAAGATGTACAACAAAAATGAGCTGTGTTTGTTCACATCGACTGATACTGAGTGGTTGCGGTACAAGCACATATCGTCGATAATAGACGATTGTTGTGTATCAGAGAACGCTTGCGTAAAGAGACTAGGGTGGGGAACGGATTCGAAACTCAAATGTCATTAGCTGAATACATCCGTAGACCATAGGTCCACCGTTGTATAATTGGCAATGCACCCGTGTACTGAATGGGAATTGTGGGTTCGAATCCCACCGGTGCCCTTAGATTTTTTGGCAAATTTTCTCACACACACGTCTCTTACCGATGATATGTGCTTACCTCTCAGTATGTTCAAACTTTCCTTTATCGTAAGATATATGCCAGGTAACCAAAATGTGGTAGATGCATTGTCCAGGTTATCACAAAGGAAAAATTGTGCTATTATTGAACCAGATGTGGTTGCCTTTCTATCAGGAGAAGTCAGACCAGCAGCATTGTCGATCAAGGATCTGGAAAAAGTTACACTACAAGATGATGAACTTCAAGTGGTAAAGGATGCAATGTACTCAGGTAATTAGGACAAATTAAAGATGATTTGTCTATGTATGGGGCACTAATATTGATGGATCGATAGGTAGGGTCCAGGTGTGTGGAAGCTGCTTCCCTGGCGTCGGTAGCATTGGTGATCAGCACGAAAAACAAGATTAACGGAAAACAAATCGAACGAAAAAAACCAAGTAACTGATACTCAATTATGCTAGTTCTGTTAAAACAGAACTGAGTTACTAGTGCTAGTTCTGTTAAAACAGAACTGAATTTGACATATATCTCCATTACTCTGAAGAGCGTAACTGTTAAAAATGGTTAGCGCCTTATGATTATGAGGTAAGGAACGCAATACTACCCCTGGCACAACCAATACAAATATTATCTCTATGCTGCAGGAACCAAGTATCAGACAAATGAAAGGCAAATAAGTGCATTTTGAATTCCTAACTAATAGCCAATGAAAAATTAAATTCCTTTTACAATCAATGCAAGCAAGAATTAAACTGATCACTCAACGGCAGTTTCATCGAGGATTTGGATTTTTTCTGCGCAAAAAATGGACTTACTCCGCTCTGTCTCTGTCCCCTTCAAATATCGATCACACATTCCTCCCCATTGGTGTTACTCTCACGAGGTCCACATCAGGCTGCGCAACTCGCACATAATCAAAACAAATTGTATCAAATCCACTTGGGGAATGACGATCACATTGGTGTACCACATAGATAGGCCTCGACGGCACGCGGCGCGTCGCCTTGTCATCGGCTTCAGCCAGCTGCACAACGCAAAGCTCCTGCCAGTCAACCATCGGATAGCCAACGGAACGCATTCAGCTCGATCGCACAGTAAGCATTGCGAGATCGCTTCTGACAGAGCCTAGTACCAAGCATCAATACTCGTTCCAAGTTCGCCCGGATTCTGGAATCGGCCGCAGCGTGCTCCAATCGACCCTCAATCCGGCGGTGGTGTGTTGTGCCAATATTGAACGACTGTCGTGGCAATTAACTACAATTCCGCGGTGTTTACGTGAGTGCGGAAACGGTCAACGGTACACAAATCAAACGAAAATAAACTTTTAATATATGCATATTAGCTTTCAACCGTAATTCCTTCGGCAGTGCGGCGTGGTACGCGTTTTCTTCGCCTATGGGTTCAAGAGATTCGAATTTGCGCGCACTAAAACGAGGCAGCGTGATTTCCCAACCAGCCCTAGCTAGTAGCGAAGCTAATGCAACCGGCCAACGACGCTGCTGCTGCTGCTGCGGCGCCGCCACGTGACCATAGTGTTGTGGTAGTCGCTTTTGGCGCGGTCGCGTAACTCTGTCGAAAAAAAAAGTCTACCCATAATGAAAACGAAAGTGAAGCTTAAGACGTCGTTGTCGTCATCGTTGAACGGCCTGTAGTAGGACGATGAAGACGGTGTCGATGCACAGTGGACAACGATCGATTGAAATGTGTCAAAATTACAGCATAAGAAACATGAATCTTTTTATAATTTCATCCACGATTCGTACATTGTGCATCGGTCCAGTATTGTCCAAATAAAAGAAAACAATCACTGAACAAAGCAGACTTTATACCCATGGGAGAGAGATTTCACCTCGTGGATAGTTACGCGCGCCCATCTCTAGATATTGTTGCTGGCAGTTGGAACCCGCGAGTGTGTTATAATCAAAACACAAGAAGAAAAAAAAATCTGCTCAACTCGACAACTCGCACGGCACTGCGCTGGAAGTTAAATTGAGTGATAAAAACACAAACGGTGACTTGCGACGAAGACGGCGAAACTTGTTTACCCCCACATGAGCGCGTGGACGACTCGCGGATGCTGACTTATAGGTGTGTCGGCCTCCGTAGTTGGCCACGGATGGTATGAAGCGCTGGCATGGTGCGGCCTTCCCAAGGCTCCTCCATCCGTCCAGGGCAGCACGCGTACGGGGCACCAGAGAGTGGTCGAAGATGTGAAAAATGTTAATCAGCGATCAGTGTCGGCTGGTAACTTCCAGCAGAAGGAAGTGCGTTTTCGCAGATCGATTAGATATTCGCGGGTCGTTTGACAATTGTGGTGCTGCTTCTGGGTTTCGGTATGAGCACATGCGTTAGGTGGTGATGTTTTCCTCGAAAGGTTTATGTGGAGACCAGAAGTGACCCAATGGCACTGACATAACGGTGACGGTGGTGAAGATAAACTTCGGATAGGCAAATAAGAAACGAACCCCTTGTGAGAATAGTGCAATAGTGTCAGTGTTGCATCAAGTGCTTCAGCAGCATTTACATAATTGGCTACAATATTGTCGGTTCCCATCAGCGGGACGGTACTTTGAATGAAGAAATTAAGTTAGATTAGGGGACGGCACGTGTATCGTTTTTCTTTGAAGTGGATTTTTGGTTTGGTTTGGATATGATGATTCTCTGTAGCAAAGTGTGTTACCAGCATGGTTATTTGTTGATGCTTGTTTTCTTTTTGTTTTGCTTTATCACAGACGTCAATAGGTTTATACAGTGGCTGATGTAATATTCCGGATGGGTTTAGTGCTCTTATTGACTGAATCACATAGCTCACTCACTCACTCGTGCATTCTGAGCACCCCACGTTGTGCTAACAAGAAGAATTTCCTTTCTGTGTGACTGATTACTTTTGTCTTGACTTTATTGGTATTAGCCTATTTATTTTGCTGTCTTGTTATGTTTTCGACCCATCCCTAGTGATAGGTTACAGCAGCAATTATAAAAAATAAGCAATCGACATCACACAATTCATTCTATATTAGTCTTCCAATAAAGAGCTGAACCAATACTGTCAGCGAGTTCAGCTACGTTACAAAAAACGGCACCACGGTCAAAAGGTGGTTCCCTCGTCGCTCGGATCTACTCAGAAACGATGCGAGGAGCCTGGATGATCCAGCATCGGTTCGTCTCCTGCTCAGGAAGTTGAACACTTCCTATAACAACTGCTATACAATAGAACAATTCATTTGAAGCAACTTTGGTCAAGAATTCAATTTTCTATCTCTAATCATTCACGTTGCTACTTTTTAATGAAAAGTTGGTTTTTTAAACATGATTTTTTCAAAACCTTCAAATGAAAATAACAACAAAAATCCACATAGTCCGTATTGCGTTGCGTTGCGTTGAGTGTGTAACGGAGTAATTCGTAGATTGCATACTGGCAACTTTCATGTATCATCTTTAACGTTCTTATTCTGATTGCTTAAGGAAAACTATAGCTCTCCAATTAAAGTTCAGAACAGGAAAAGCATGACAATTGCCATTGCCGGCCACGCCCATCTTCTCCGTTATGTGGAAAGGTAGGATATTGTTGATGTAAGATCTACTTAACGGGAGGCCAGTGACTCACCGACGCCCCCATAGATGCTACGGAGTTGCATAGTTTGGTAGGCGATGCTACCATAGTAATTGTTTTGTTCTCGAGGAACTTGAGAGTAAACCCACCCTACTCAGTAAGCAAAAGTGGCTAGCCAAGCTCCTAAATTTAAATTCCAATCATGTTTAAAATAAAATTAAACAAACAAAAAAGAGCCGTCTCACCCGAATGATCCAATTTACTCCAGCCATATGTGATAAAAACACTGATGCACTTTGGAGGGTCACTTGACCAGTTTTGAGGACTACTCAAAAAATTCCAAACTTCGTATTGATAAAAAAGCGGATTTTTCAAAAAAAAAATCCTACCAAAATATTTAACAACTTTGTTCCATCGGCAAAAAATGCGGGGTTTTGAAAAGTACTAAAAGTGCTTGGATCAAATGATTAACGGAAATCATTGAGTAACAATTAGTAACTCAAAACTATGTGGAGACATGACCACTCTTACTTTCTTATTAAAAACAAGTATTACACTTAAGCCATTAGAGATATAAAACTGTTTTCCTAGGCTAGATGCATCGAATAATGTTTCCTACAACTTTGTAATATAATAGTAAAAAATTTTATATTTAGATCTCACTAACGAAATACGTATGACATTCATGAAGAAACCATTTACTAATTGTTTGGGTACAAACATGTTTGTCATTCTAAATACAGTCTTGGGATCATTGTGCACTGGTAATATTCCAGGCGACGAGTTCCAGCGACTCTTCAACCTCGAGTCGAGCACCAAATAATCTGGTCCACAGTAGGATGCGTAAAACGGCTCAACTTTCCTAAGCAAATCTGACCCATTCAGCTCACTAATGTGAAACGGTTCCTTTGAACCACTCTTTGGCTCATTTTGAGATTAATGAAATACAGTAACTCTCCTATACTCGATCTCAGCCTTACTCGATATTCTCCCTATTTAGATGGAAATCCAGGCTAATTCAACCACTTTTCCCATACAAAGTTTCAAAATTTATAACAACAGTTCGAGAGCAACAACATGAAACACCTTGTAGGGCCCGAACTTATGATACGTCAAAACAATTAATAAAAAGTAGAAGGTTCTGTGTCCAGGGGCACGAATGGAAGCTTGACGTAGGACCGCTAGTGGTCGGAACAAATGTGAGGAGGATTTAGTTCTTTAATTGATCGATCATCTATTATCTTAACTTTTTCCGTTTTTGAATTATAGGCGTACCAAATTTGTAGTACTTTTTTCAAAGAGAAAGTTGATGAAGAGAATCGATCAAAATTACTTGCACTCCTGCTTCCAAGTTTGATTACAAGATTACAACTCTGGAGAGCATTTTGTATGGTCGTTGGGGGCGTGTGGTTCTGAATATGGACAAACAGGCACTGATCAGACCGGAGATACGTTGGACACCGCCACGGCAAACCAAACGAAGCATTGCGGTTATCACGAAGAACCTTGCGATGGCGCTTGGCTAAAGTCGCTATATTTATAGTCTGGCGGATAGAATTTCACTCTATCAAAAATCGGAATCAATTCAATATATTGTAGACCATCAATTGAAAAGGTACTATCAAATTTTGTAAACAACACGTTGATTATTCTTTCCTCGCCAATCGAAAGCAAATTACCAGCATTATCGGATAGGGGAAACTTTCCCCAAGCCAAAGATGGTGTTAGTTTGCGTAGGCGAGCCTTGAGTCACGAGAAAATGGTTTCCGAAGTTTTTATCGCAATAGCTGAAGTGCTCTTTCTGTTGTTGGTCGTTATTTGCTAGATTGGTTCCACTATTTGACAGCTCAATTGGTTCCCGAGATTATATGCGCCAGACTATGAATATAGAGACTCTACGCTTGGTGCCTTCTTTACCAAGACCTTTTCCTCCTTTGCTACGAACAGTCATTGTTGCTTGTTAGGTAGAAGAGTGCACTACCTAACCTGACACCACCTTCCTACTGCTGCTATTGCTGCTTCTGTTGATACTAGACAGCAGCCTCTAAGGAAGCTTTAGCGTGAAATTTCAAAGGCACAAATGTCAGGTTCCACAAAACATACAAATTTGAAATTGCTACTCTCTGTTTGTAGTAGCACAGCAAACAAGGAGTAGCAATTTCAAATTTGTATGTTTTGTGGAAGCTGACATTTGTGCCCTTAAAGTTTCACGCTAAGGCTTCCTTAGAGTATCACCTCAAATATTTTCAGAATAAAGCAGAATTTTGTGCAACCAAGTGGTACTCGATTATGACGACTGGGTTTGGGAAGAAAGTTTATTTCATGAAAACAGTGATAAAATTATCACTTTTTATTTGTACATTAGACAATGCTTGACATTAACACTTTTTCAATAGTTTCTTGTTGAAAATCATCAGTGCGTAGAAATATTTTTGATAGATTGGTGATAAAAATTATTGAAATTGGTCCATCGGCAACTGAGTTATTAATGTTCAAAATCTTTCATTATTTTGTTACATGTTCCACTTTCGGTTTTCACAAAGTGTACCCCATATAGAAATCACAGGCGTAGTTCTACGTCAAAACAAACTTCTCGTTCGGTGAGGTTTTTCAGGATCTAATTTTGAAAGCAACAAGGATTTTTGATGAACAAATGATGTTTTCTGACGTTTGTAGGTATCTTTTTTCCTTCATTAGAATGTACTTCTTTTGTGACAGTTGATGTATGTACGTAAGATACAGCA